CTTGCGATAGACTGGTAGGTATACTAGTAGTTTTATATACTTAGTAGTACATTTATGCTCAGAATGTTATCAGAAAGAGCAAATGCAGAAGGACGTGCACCTGTGTTTTATAGACTACGGAAGGGCGTTTGACAAAGTACGCCACAAAGATCTATTGGAACTGCTCAGCAATCTTGATATATTTCGGAAAGGTATTAGAATAATCAAGAACCTGTACTGGCAGCAAACGGAACTGCATGCGGATAGAAGATGAGTTCAGCAGATATAGAGAAATAGAAAGGGACGTAAGGCAAGGAAGGGTCTTCTCACCGGACTTATTCAACCTATAGTGTGAGGCAATTCTGTGAGAATTGGAAATCCTACCGCCATTAATCATTAGCGGCCACAATCTTAACAATATAAGATACGCAGATGACATAGTAATGTTAGCAGACACGGAAAAGAAACGACAAATCCTACTACGGAAGATAGCGAGGGAAAGCGAGAAGAAAGGACTAACCATAAACTACGAGAAAACAGAATGCGTGGTCATCAGTAAAAGGATGAACCCGAAATGCAATTTGCAGGTCGGGGGACACTAAAATGAAGCTGGTGCAGAAATTTAAACATCTGGGAAGTGTTCTGACAAGGACGGCAAGAGTTGCACTGAGATTTGAAGACTTATTGGAATAGCCAAAGACGCATACCAGAGGCAGGCAGAGTATTACGAGACGGGGCGGATTTCATTGATAACAAAAAAAAAAGTACTGAATTGCTACGTGATATCGGTCCTCCTTTACGGCAACGAATATTGGACGGTCTCCTCAAATATGATGAACATACTCGCGGTAGCGCAGGTATGGTTCTACAGTAGGATGCTAAGGATATTACGGATCCAGCGTATGAGCAACGATGGGATTTTGGCGACGATGCAAAGAATGAGGAAGTTTATACTTAACATCAGGAAGAGGCAGCTGAAATTTCTGGGACATGTAATGTGCAATTGATGGCTTGGAGAATCTAATACTCACAGGTCGAATAGAGGACAAAAGAGACAAGAGAATGAAACACGTGCTTAAGTAGATGAATGACAGAACAGAGTTTGGGAGAAGTAGCAAATGGACAAAAATTATTGACGAGCTACAACGGATAATCGGAAGTAGAGGGCCATGGTCGCCTACGTCCTGAAGGGACACGGCACATAAAAGAAAAAGAAGTATATTTCTTCTCTTTTTCCGGAAGTAGAAAGTTCGTAAAGGAAGTAGAAATTATTACTAATATCGGATATACTTTTAAGTTCTTTAGACCAAGTAAAATAATTTCTCTGGGATCTTTGTGTCCTTGTGACTTACGGCTACAACACCTTGAAAACACTGGTTCGCGTACGATCACCGAAACAACGTCAAGTCTGGTCAGTAACTATATGAGAAACCACTTGGGTATTCTAGGTGCTGTAAGCTTGGATGTTCGGGTGGTGTAATGGATAATCGGAGAGCCGTGTTCCAATTCCAGTCGGGTTCGTTATATTCAATTACGAGCAAATACCTATTGGGAAAGGTAAGAATCTACCTGTTCTCACCCCAGCTATGGGTCAATTAGCAGAACTTGTATCAGTAAAATCATTATTATCTTAAAAAAATTCTTACAATCTAAAAAATATGTTCTGGCTTTAAATAACCTACTAAAGATTGATAAGCCGTAAAAAACAAATCAGTCATTAAAGTTTCGAAGTCTACTCTTCATCGAGGATCAGCGGGAATGTCTTTGACTAAACTGAGAAGCAGTCAAATGACGAGGAAAACATTGATCAAAACACCTTTTCGTATAGAAGTTTTTTTATAATTAAGGTGGGACATGTCTTGAACTCCCTTGTTAATTTTCTTGTGGTTTGCTTAGGGATTCGAAAAACTCAGTATCGACAGATGTGATTGTTCACATCGTGAAGAATCATGATAATGCCTATGATATCTGTTTATATTTCTGAGATAAGGTATTATGTACACTATTTACATTATTCGGACTATTGTTCTCATCTTTGTCGACATATTTATTACAACGTTTCGGCCGTTGTATGCTCCGGCCTTCTTCAGGTGGTTGGGATGCCGAACTGAACCCTTTATTTCGCTCACTGGGGTATACTGTTCTAGTTCCACGTGCAATGTCTAATGGATGTCAGATACCTCCTGTTAATTTTCCCTCTCCAAATTTTCCACCGCCTTAACCAGGTATTGAACTCACACTCTTTGGGTCCTGTCACTGGATCTAACCAACGCCTTTATTCACTGTGCCATGTGTCTTTGAGGACACATGTTACATTGGATAATATTTGACATTCCAACCACCTGAAGAAGGCCGGAGCGTACAACGACCGAAACGTTGTAATAAATATGGCGACCAAGATGAGGACAATAGTCTGAATAATGTAAATAATGCCTATGATGTTCTCTCCTCCTTCGTCACTCGACTGCCGGAATTTAAGCGTGCTACTAGATTGGCAAGTAGTTGCGAATAGAGTTTCCAATTCCAGTTGGATTCATTATATTCACTTACGCGCAAATACTCTTGGAGAAGATATGAATTCACCTCTTCTCCCCTTTCTATCACTAAACCATTATTATCTTTAAAATCCTTACAATCTTAAAATATTTTCTGGCTTTAAATAACCTTTCTGGCTTTAAATAACCTACAAAGGGTTGATAATCCGTAGAAAACGAATCAATCAGCAAAGAAACAAAACAAAAAAAAAACCCCAAAAAAAACAAACAAAAAAAAGAAAAAAAAGAGTTGCTTTATTTTCCTCTTCAGTTGCTGCAAACGATAAATCTAGAATTTTGACATTAACGTTGGTAGTCATCTAAGTAGGATATTTTGGGGTCTGGAATCATCCTAATACTTTTATCATATAAATTAATGTTAATTACAGGTTCAATTTGTGCAAGGAAACCTCTATTCATATTCTAAATCTAGCTAGAATCTCTAGGTCTTTCAATGAACCATGTTTCCTCTGTATACAGGAAAAATGCAAATAATTAAGTTTTCAAATAGTGACATTTTGTTGAATCAAAGATACGAAACAGCGATAAGTTGTGAGTACATAAAGAAATTAACTTTACAAAATTGCTAAATTTCTTAAACATAGAATCAATCTTCTTATTATCTTTATAAACATTTCATCGTTAATTTGTCCCAGTTTTAGGCATTAAATTAGTTAATATTTTTTAATTTACTCGTACTACTTGTAAATTAAAAAATAGGCTTGAATTATATTTTAATTTTATTATTTTATTAATTTTAATTTATTTTATTAATTATTTTTTTGGCTTTTTAATAATACTTTATAATTAATCTCTTTCTATAAAAGGCAGGATGTGTGTGTGTGTGTGTGTGTGTGTGTGTGTGTGTGTGTGTGTGTGTGTGTGTTTGTGTGTGTGTTTTGTACGAATGCACGGCCGCAATTTTCGACAGATTTGCAAATAAAATTTACATGCACATGCTCCAAGTTATCGGAAAGGCCAAGACTGACTTTGCATTTTCCAACTCCCATCGATAGCGGAAATAATCGATTTTTTCATGCTTCTACGGCAGTTTTCATGTAGTTTGCGGCCATTTTCTATTGGCCAGAGTGAGAGCCTATAGCTGGCTGCCACGAATAGACAGGAAGATTCTAGTGGCCAGCGTGAGAGCCAACAGCTGACTGACGGGAATGGTAACTAGCATGCTAGCATGCAAAAAAAAAAAAAAAAAATTCGTCACTAGTGGGAAAAATTTAAATCTACATGAGTACCATCATTGATAGCCACCTGAAGAAACGTTTGATTTTAACGTTGAAGCAAAATGTACAATTTTGTAGTGGATATTTACATGTTCTAATATAACTGTATAATAAATATATATCGAGAGATATAGTATTGTTTATACGTTATTTTTAAAGAGACAAATATTTAAGTAAATGCTCTGTTTATAATAAACAGTATTAACAACATTTACCGGCCTGAATGTCCGAGAAATTTTATAGAAAATATGTCCTCCGACAGGAAACGAACCTGTATCCTACACTGTTTAGTGACAGAGAAAGTGTCAGGTTAGCAAGGTCGAATTACCGTTTTTAAACTACAAATTTCTCATGATTTCTGTCGAATGTTCATATCTGCTCGAAACATATCTAAAAGTAAACAAATGACGTCATATATTATGAAATGGACTAAGTCCGACAAATATTTTAATTTACTTAAATATTTGTGTCTATATAAATAACGTATAAAAATAAATTACAGTGACCTTGGACCATGACAATAAGTAATACTAAAAACTACAACGGATAAGAAGTTTGTGGAGAGTCATGCCCTGAAGGACACGGCACATGAAAAAAAAAAGTAGTATTTTTGTATAGCTGTGCTGACTAAGCCACTGTATATACTGTAAAATGAATCACTCTTATACAGACGTCCATACGTATACACTTTGAAACACAAAGGGTTATAACAAGAGAAACTGGCAAAGGGTATGACAGCCAAGAAATTACAACTAAATTGCACCCACTCGTCTCATTACCAATCTCATAAGCTCTCCTTTCCTATTCAGACGAAATCACTGAGTGTTCATTTTTATCCCACACCCACGGCAATCCTTATTCGAACAGCGCTGCATGTTTTAAACAATGTCCCATACGTAAACATACTCGACGAGATCCAATATTATTAGTCATAATTGTTTTGCTTAGTTTGTACTTTTTTGTTCGGAATCATTTATTTTTGGCGGGAATAGCTGCAACCAAGTGGAATTGACGGCGAACCGGATTGTTCCCAAGTGGATTGAGAAAATGGACGAGAATGAGAAAAGATGTTTGTTCTTTTTCCCCACCCTTCAAAATTTTCTCTTTTTACCTTCTTCTTCTTCCTTTGCTTCTTTTTTTTTCCTCTTTCCTTTTTCGTCTTTTTTTAAATATTTCTTTTGTTAACATTCTCCAGTCCTCTTTTCATTTGTCTCTATTTGACCTATTTATCCAACGTTTACTTCTTTAGTTTTTTTCTTCTTCTTTGCTTTTAATCTATCTATCTATCTATCTATCTATCTATCTATCTATCTATCTATCTATCTATCTATCTCTGTTTCTCCCTCTCTCTTAGGTGGTGCACTATCTATCTATCTATCTATCTATCTATCTATCTATCTATCTATCTATCTATCTCTGTTTCTCCCTCTCTCTTAGGTGGTGCACTATCTATCTATCTATCTATCTATCTATCTATCTATCTATCTATCTATCTCTGTTTCTCCCTCTCTCTTAGGTGGTGCACTATCTATCTATCTATCTATCTATCTATCTATCTATCTATCTATCTATCTCTGTTTCTGTTGGTATTTTTCTTTTTCTATCTATCTATCTCTATCTCTCTCTATCTATCTATCTATCTGATTCTCTCTCTCTCTCATCTCTATCTATCTATCTATCTATTTCTATCTATCTATCTATCTTATCTATCTTGGTCTGTTGATATTTTTCTTTTTTCATCTATCTATCTATCTATCTATCTATCTATCTATCTATCTATCTATCTATCTCTGTCCGTTTATTTCTATCTATCTTAGTATGTTCATTATCTATCTATCTATCTATCTATCTCTCTATCTATCTATCTATATTTTCATTATCTTTATCTTTTCTTTCTAAGTCTGTTTCTATCTATCTATCTATCTATCTATCTATCTATCTATCTATTCTCTATCTATCTATCTATCTATCTATCTATCTATCTATCTATCTATCTATCTATCTTTAACTCTATCTTTTTTATCTATCTATCTATCTATCTTGGTCTGTTTTATTTTTAATTTGATCACTATTCTATCTATCTATCTATCAATCCATTTCTATCTATCTATTTCTGTTTCTCCCTCTCTCTTAGGTGGTGCATTATCTATCTTGATCTATCTATCTATCTATCTATCTATCTATCTATCTGAATTCTCTCTCTCTCTCACTGACTGATCTATCCATCTATCTATCTATCTATCTATCTATCTTGGTCTGTTGATATTTTTTTTTTCATCACAATATCTATCTATCTATCTATTTATCTATCTATCTATCTATCTATCTATCTAACCGCTATCTATCTCTGTCCATAATTGACAACTATCTAATGCCTTAAACAAACATAAGATCTATCTATCTATCTATCTCTGTCCGTTTATTTCTATCTTCTTAGTATGAATCTATCTATCTATCTATCTATCTATCTATCTATCTCAGTGTTTTCATTATTTTTCTTTCTTTCTAAGTCTGTTTCTATCTATCTATCTATCTATCTATCTATCTATCTATCTATCTATCTATCTATCTATCTCATTATAATAATTATCTATCTATCTATCTATCTATCTATCTATCTATCTATCTTTAACTGGTCTTTTTATCTCTTCCCTTCTATCTCTGTCTTTGTATCTAATTTGACTCTCTATTCACCTGTTGATATCAATTCCAATTTGTTCGTATCAATTTCTGTATTGATCTGTCGATAGAGAGTTGGATTGAGTTGACTAGGCGGTCGATAGATCGATACATAAATAAATAGACGTTTTCTCTTCACGTGATCTTTCCTTATTGCTTCCTACATTATACTCGGAGAAGACGCCGCACCCACACTTAACAGTTCAGCCACAATCATAATCAGCACCAATTTGAACCAGGATTCAACGCAAACCGCTTCTTTTCTCCATAATTGACAACCGACAATGCCTAAACAAACATAAGAAACAAACAAGTAAGCTAACGTTAACCTCAGTGTCTTAAAATTATGAATGTGTACTGATTAACAACATGGCCGAAAGCCAGCCGAGAATCCAAACAAAAAAAAAAAGACGCTCAAAAATCATATGTTTAGTGCAACAATGGAAAAACGAACAAACAAACAAAAACAAAAAAGGAATGAGTGGAAAACGATTCTTGAAAAAGAAAGATAAAAATCGAAAGAATATATCTTGCCCTTCGAATTCGATGAATGAAAAAGAAAGATATGAAAGAATTTTAAGATTTTCTTTTTACGATAGAGAAAAAACGTGTGACTCAGAAAATGGGTTGATGGTTTCCTTGTAGACTGAGGTTATAATAGAGAGAATCTTGTTTTCATAATCACTCATCATTCCAAGTTTGTTTGCTTCCTTTCAAGAAGTATAAATACATCTGGATCGATATGTGAGAACATCTTCGTAGGTTTAGGTGCTTTTCGGGCCGGTGTTGAAAATCTAAGTGTATGTATACTTATCGAATTACGTTCATCAAGTCACTGTAACTTTCTAGCAATCATTAACTATTCAATAAAAAGCTCTATACAACTTGCCTTGGGTCATGCTTAGTTATGCATGCTAAATCTCTGAAAACAGTTTTATATATGCAAACACATGTTGATTCAATATCTATCTATTTATCTATCTATATACGTCTATATATATATTCTATGTTATATATATACATCTGTCTATCAATTAAATATGTTCATGATCTATCTATATATCTATCTATCTATCTATCTATCTATCTATCTATCTATCTATCTATCTAAACTGGCTCTTCCTGATGTTAAGTATAAGTTTCCTTTTTGTTTCCATTTTCTCTAAAACCTCGTCGTTGCTCACATGTTCGGTCCATGGTATCCTCAGCATCCTTCTGTAGAAATTTCAACTGTCGCTTCCTGATGTTAAGTATAAATTTTCTTTTGTTTCCATTTTCTCTAAAACCTCGTCGTTGCTCACATGTTCGGTCCATGGAATCCTCAGCATCCTTGAAATTTCAACTGTCTCTTCCTGATGTTAAGTATAAGTTTCCTTTTTGTTTCCATTTTCTCTAAAACCTCATCGTTGCTCACATTTTCGGTTTATGGCAAGAAAAAGAAACATGTTGAAACGCTTACGTATGTTAGTTTCGTCAACTTTATGTGAAATTCATCCTTTCTGAGTCTTTAGTTTTTTTTTTAAGGTTTCTAAATCTCTAAGTGTAATTGACTGAATTCACAAGCAATATGGAAGTTGAGAAACATCAAATAAACTTTTGTACCATCGAGCAAAAGACTTTAATCTCCATGTCTTAAACGGTTCAGTGGTAGAACACTAACAAAAATTTATTTGAAAAATATTCGTCACGTAAGGAGTCTGGTAATTAACCCATGAGATTCATAGGCTCACCACACGTGCAGAATAGTGGGTGTATCTAGGGCGGTTGACAGATCTCGTTCCTCTTCAGGTTGGTTAAGAATTTAGACTTTTCCTTCTCCTAGGTTGGTTGCCAACGACGGCAAAGAGACAAGTCTACGCTACGATTTAATTCCTCGCCAATTATTTCTGAAAAAACGTTTATCTTTCGAATTTTTTTTTTATTTGTTTTTAGCACAGTAACTTGAAGTACCCGAGCGGTGGCTATCACCTCTACCAAACGTATGAGTTGACAATTGAAATCGTTTCAAGCCCAGAAAAATCAAGATCGATGTAAAAACACGTCTGTAGCTGGTTTTTTTTTTAACGTGATATTTTGCACGTGTTTATTCGTCCGTGGCTGAAAAGTCCACTTTCGGTGGAAACGTATATACACGTTTCCCGCGCGTAGCGAAGGGCATTAATGCGAAGTTTAAAGGATGCTAATCCACAGGGATTTCATTTTCGGCGCCGGTAACCGCTACACCATTCTTTCATTAAAAAGATTACGGACCATCAAATTTTCAAATACCTACCTATCGTTACAATTTCAGAAGGTGGCTTTTTTTCTGGCTGCTCTGCCGTATTACCTTAATATGAAAAACATATTACTCGGCTTGTCTTTGACAGATTTGCGCACACTCTATCAAACCCCATACTTAACCACTTAACAAGTCTGGAGTAAACCGTTTTCTTTACTATATATCCTCATAATCCGTACTTTTTATCCTTATTCCTTAACCCTCTACCCGGAGAGGCTCTTGTGTCTTGTATTTGGTGTAAGACAATATCGAATTCAAAACTGTGGTGACGGCAACGGGAATATACGGGATCTATTTTTTTAATCTCCTATTTCATTGCACGAAAATTTTTTCAGACAGACAGTCAGTAAGTATCATGAAAACCATTTTCTTTTTTTTTTGTTCACGTGATGCAAGCCACTAAAACACAAGGGGCTGGTAGGAGTAGTTGGGTCAGAAACAGGAGCATTGCTAAGGGAATTCAGGAGGACAGTAGATAGCGATCGAGGGTGTATTTAATTCTTGACAGATTAAAGTTGGCTGGAAAACACGGAGCCCGGAAGTGAGTTCCACGAGCGACGAGTGCGAGAAAAGAAACTGTTAGCAGAGAATTTACGGCTACATCTAACCAGTTCAACTGTAAATTGGAGAGGCCTCATCGCCATTCTAGTACCATGTTTAAATTCAAAGAGTCTGGGCACCAGAGCGAAGAGATCACCTGAAGAATTCCCATAAAAGAATATTTATAGAAAAGGCAAATGGCGGCAAACTTTAGGCGGTACGATTTTCAAGAGTAGAATTATGGTAGTAATTGTCTTGTCTTTGTATTTTCTTATTTTCTTAATTTATTTATAGGATATTCGTGTTTGAACAGACGTCTCTGTTTTCTTTTTGTTGTAATGTTTTCTTTGTTCAAAATCGCCGAGAATTACGAAAGCCGTAGTTAGAGAGAATATCAAAGAAACAGAAGACGAGGCAAAGGAATCAAAGAAGAAGCTTATTAAATACTCATACATGGAACGGAAAGGCATGAGTAAATCAAATACTACTCAAATCCTACTCTAATGTAGCTACTTGCCATATTTATAATTAGAAGCATTCTCACAGGAGTAGAGAAAAGCAAGAAGTTCGTGGAGGCATACACTACAACAGATAGCTACCCTTCCCAAAAGATAATGGTTGATCATTTCAGAAAACGATGTGTGCGAGAGTATTTTTAAAAAAATTATCTATGAGTAATATGTTGCACAGTTCTCACCCACCGTTACTACTTCCCTTCCAGCAACAGCAGGTGAAGAGTTAGCAGTGCTTTCCCGTCTTCTGGTCGCCACACAAATTTAGAGAGCAAATTTTAATTATTTCATCCCAGACAAGGCGATAATGCCACTAAGACGCAAGGAGCTACTTGGAGTGATAGAGAATGAGAAGACATTAGGAGAAACCGGAAACCAAGTTCTAAGAAGGGATCTAGGAACTTTTGTTCAAAACACCGGAGAGTAGTCGGAAACAGGTGATAGATGAACCTAATATTTAAACCCCAGGTGGATGTATGTCAATGGGATTGGATACATAACAAAAGTGCTGTAATGTTGTCTTTGTTCAAAATAGTCAAGTATTAGGAAGGCCTTAGTTAAAGTATCGAAGGAACAGAAGATCAAATAGAGGAAACAAAGAAGAGGTTTAATAAATACTCATACATTGAACAGAAATACTTGAGTAAATCAAATCCTACTCAAATCCTACTCAAATCCTACTCTAATGTGGCTACTTGCCTTATTTATAAGTAGGAGCAGTCCTACACTACAACAGATAGCTACCCTTCCCAAGAGAGAATGGTTGTTCATTTCAGAAAACGGTATGTGCAGAGTGTTTTTTATTTTTTTTTTAATTATCGGTGAGTAAGAGATTGCACAGTTTCCGGATCAACCGTTACTACTTCCCTTCCAGCAAAAATTGGTGAAGAATCAGTTCCACAGTTTCAACCGATTTGAATTGAATACTTTCTCGTCTTCTTCTTCACTGGCTGCCACACAAAGCTGGAGAGCCAATTTTAATAATTTCATCCCAAACAAGGCGATAATGCTACTAAAACGCAAGGGGCTACTTAGAGTGATAGAGAATGAGAAGACTTTAGGAAAAACCGGAAATCCACTTCTATGAAGGAATCTAATTTTAAAAATCTATTCAAAATACCGGAGAGTAGTCTTAACCAGGTGATAGATGAGCCTAATATTTAAACACCAGCTGAATGTATGTCAGTGGAATTGGATACATAACAAAG